TTAAAATAAATCTTATCAATTAAATTCAAATAATTCCAATAAAGTCAAATGATTCAAAGAAATTCAAATCAATCAAATCAATTCAAAGAAATTCAAGTAATTCAAATCAATTCAAGTAATTCAAAGAAATTCAAAGAAATTCAAAGAAATTCAATTCAAATAAACTCAACTTTGTTTGGTTCAATTCAACAAGATGAATGCAAATTTAAGTTGATGAACAAAAGCTCTTACCTGAAGGCTTACCTTCAGGTTCTGCGGCTCTTTTGCACCACCTGCTGCCAAACTGGTATCTCTTTTTCAGAAGCTTCACATTCCTTACCCACTTCGGCACAGGGCCCGTCCATAACGGCTGAGACTCACTGGGGACCTGAGGTGGGTCAGGGGGGCTCACTCTCTGCAGCCTCCTAATGGTGAGCTTGGTAGGATGACCTGTTGGCACATAAATCCAGTGTTCCTCTGCTAACCCTGGGATAGAGAAGCTAGGGGGAGAGCTATGGGGGGAAGAGGCTGAGGAAGAGCAAGAGCAAGGGGAGGAGTTAGAAGAAGCGCAAGAGGAGGAGCGAGAGGAAGAGCTAGAAGAGGAACGAGAGGAGGAGCGTGAGGAAGCGCTGGAAGAAGACCTAGAAGAGGAGTGAGAAGAAGCATTAGAAGAGGAGCGAGAAGAAGCGTTAGAAGAGGAGCGAGAAGAAGCGCTAGAAGAGGAGTGAGAAGAAGTGCTAGAAGAGGAGTGAGAAGAAGACCTAGAAGAGGAGTGAGAAGAAACGTTAAAAGGGGAGCGAGGAGAAGCATTGAAAGGGGAGCAAGAAGAAGCATTAGAAGAAGAGCAAGAAGAAGCGTTAGAAGAGGAGTAAGAAGAAGCGTTAAAAGGTGAGCGAGGAGAAGCATTGAAAGGGGAGCAAGAAGAAGCATTAGAAGAGGAGCAAGAAGAAGCGTTAGAAGGGGAACGAGAAGAAGAGTTAGAAGAGGAACGAGAAGAAGCACTAGAAGAGGAGCGAGAAGAAGCGTTAGAAGGGGAGTGAGAAGAAGAGTTAGAAGTAGAACTAGAGGATGATTTAGAGGAGGACCTAGAAGAAGAGCTAGATGAGGAGGTAGGAGGAGGAGAAGAGGCGAAGTTAGACAATGAGCTGTGGGGGTAAAGCCTAGGGGAAGGAGAAGGGCAAAAGATTGAGGAGGAGGCACTAGATGGGGAACAAGAGGGAGAACTTGGTGGGGACCAAGTGAAATAGCCACCCGGGGCGACCGGGATTCTACGAAAGATGAGCCGTGGGCTGCCACGCCCGGTGGGGTCCGGGATGAGGAAGGCTGTCCACCTGTAGCTTTTCTCCATCTGGACGTAGAAACAAATACAACTGTCAGACCACTGCACCACATCATATTACCATACAATGCCATACCATAATGATGTCATCATTTAATATATTGAACTAAAAGTATCAAAACTTAAAGGTCCAGTGTGGAAGATGTAGGATCTATTGGCAGATATTGAATTAATATGCATTACTGTTTTATGTGTATAATCACCTGAAAATAAGAATTGTTGCTTAGAAAGAGTGTTTTATGTCTACAGACGCCGCAGTTCGCCTAGAGTCTGACATGTTGAACTGCAATGTTTCTACAGTAGCCCAAAACGGACAAACCCAACACTGTCTGTAGAAAGAACCATTAGCATTTTTATATTTTTTATATATTTATAGAGTTTCACAGCCATCATAGTTTCTTCTTTGTGCCTGGAACGGGATGGCTCAGAAATTCAATCATAATCTTCTGTATGTGTGAAAACTATTTAACATTACACCTGAAAATTATTTTTGCATTTGGCTTACTGTCAAAAACGTTAATCACCTGAATTATACCTTGTAAAAAATCACAGGCTAATATTAAGATTAGTTTTATTTTTTAAATAATAATAAATAAGCATAATGGTTAGGGATGATGGACATATGTCATGTTGTAGGCCAATATATTGTCAGATAAATGAAGCCAGACTAAATAACAACTTTTGTCTTAAAACAGTATATATAAATTTAACATTACTTTTCTTTGTGTACAGTTTCTTATTTCTAATCCCTCTTTGACCAAGAGTCTGGAACTTTATTACAGCTTACAAGAAGTAGACCAATGCATAAAGATAACCTATTACACAGTGAAATGTCCACCAGACTTAAAAAAAAATAAATCCAAGATTTGATCATTCAAATTCAGAAAATAATAATTGTAATATTTTAAATAAATGTTAATTATGAGCATATTAGCCATTCAAAATAAAAAGGATTACATGCACCACTCACAGCTTATATGTTCAAAAAGTAACAGATTTTTTGGGGGAAATATTAATTTTATTAGCTAAGTTATTTATCAGCTTGTTTGTTCAACAGTTTTTGGGAGGTTTTTATAATAAACCAAGAAAGCAGCTTTAGGTTTCCTTCATCAAACGTGGTCACAACAGTCAAACGTCATTTACAGTGAAAATGTCAAATGTTGCCAGTATTGGATTTTGGGGGTTTGGAAAGTCTCAGTGGTAAAATGAAAACACATCTTAATAAGTGTACAAATCTCACATTTTCCATGAAAAAGTCCTTTGGTCAGTGACAGTAGGTCCTAGTAACGGTCCAGGTGCAAAGAGTCGCGGTTTTTTATAGAAATCGTGGAGTGA